TATATATATATATATACTGAGTGGTACGTCAGAGCATACCGCTCGGTACGCTCATACCGTACCATGCCGAGCTAAGCTTGAAATGTCGGTATGGTACAAAATTATGAACGCAGGTTTGACCAGTACCAACACATGATATAGCAGTGCATACCATTACCATACTGGTATGGCCAACCTGATCGACATTTTGATCCATGATTCACATATTCATCTTTTGTTTGCATCAATGCCATCTATAGAACACTTGCGGATATCAACTCATAAAGATGGAACAGGTTTTTTGTCAATGTGATGGTATAATTCTTTAAGGCATTCAAGAGGGTTGTTATTTTAGATAATGTTATTGTTATCCAAGAATGTAAAGTTGTGGAAATGACTTGACCATTCGATAGCATATCATAACCAATTAAAAAAGAGAAGTTCAAGAAAATGGCAAAAGATTGAGAATAAGAACTCAAGATAGCTTGACAAATGGATGAAAAAGCAAACAACAAATATATGTGCTTTTCCAATAACAAAAAGCTATTAAGAAAACAAGGCATCAGGAATTGTGACATGGTATGGGAAGAAATGATTACCACAAAGATTGCTGTTTACCTATAATGAGATTGCTGATCATCTCTGATTGAGACTGTGTGCACAAAGCAGGATTGGAGTGGGAGGTAAAAGAAAACCTGCCATTAACCTTTAATTTAAATACATGTTTGATTTTCATGAAATAGGATAAAATTGGAGAAAACAATTTCTTTCTGTATTTTCATATATTAGACAAAAGTCTCCTATTATGCATGGAGACTTGGAACCAGTGATCTTTCATGTTTTGTGTTTCTGTTCAATTTAGATGATTAATTTGATCCCATGGATTTTGCAAAAATCAAGGGAAAGAATCGATCACTTGTCACAGTTGTAAAAGGAATGTGAACCAAACCATTCTTTAGGAACATAATTTCTCTTTGTATAATGGAATTGTGCAAAGACCTTTCTATATTGTCTATCTGAATCCTTCTTGATTAACCAGCCATGATAATTGTAGTTCCCCAAAAATCTCTTTATTGCTTAGTTTTTCTTCTTGCAAAAGCATGAAGAAAATAGGCAACAGCACTAATATGATCTAGTAATTTTTCCTTGGAAAAGCCTTCCCTTTCTCTCATCTCCAAGTTTTGGTTTTGCTCCTGTGTTTGAATTAAGTGTGAGACTTTTTATTTTCAGAATATTATCAAAATAAGGGATTTCAACATCAGGCTTAAGTCATAAGGCTAGTGTTTGAGACACATTGATATAAAATGTATTCGCTGCACATGAGTAACATTGAGTTGCTTTAAAACTGACCCTCTTGGTTTGAAATAAAGTAGTAGTATTTTAATCATAAATGTTTTTCTGAATCTATTGTTGTATGTCCAATTATTTTCAAGCTTTGTAGTTGGTTCATGAGGGAATTGAAGTTAAACTTTTGGTTAGATTATGCAAGTCAATCATTTGCTGAATTGTTGTATGCTTTCAGTATGTTTGTAATAATCAATAAGCTTGCCTTAGAAACTTTGGTTAGTTGTTGTTTTGTTTTCAGACTCCAACATAAGGTTTAGTGATGCAAATCTATTTATGATTATTAGATGTTCTAAACAAGTGACAATGTAAACTGAAACTTTGATCTGTTCAGGTTTTTCTCATGACCAACTAGAGCCATCCATATTCTCTACTTTATTTCACTTATCGGAGAAGAGGAGACATCCAAGTGTTGTTTTTGAGGCCCTTCAGGTATAATATCTTAGTGCTTATTTTTTCTAGTTGTTAGTTGTATGCAAATTGTAAAGGTTCTTAAATTGCATTTTGATTGAATTTGCCAGTACTGAATTAATTTTCTCCTAGATGAATGTAATACAAAATGCTGATGAAGACTTAGTATGTTCTTCATGGCTTTTAGCGTTTTAGGCCATCTTAGGAGGCTCACCTTGGTAGTAGTAGCTTCCTTTGATGGATCAAAGAGTTGATAAAGGCTTAAAGGGTATCCAATAATGATGACAATGAAAAAAAGCCCCAGTGCTTGAAATTTCCAAACAATGGAAACTTATAATGTGAATCATCTACAAAAGAAAACTAAAGCTCTTCTGGATAAGTGGTTGGAAAGCAAGCGCTAGTATGTGTATGATGATGGTGGCGTCAATATAAAGATGCAAATTATAATGCACCCTATACAATTCAGAGTTTATGATCTTCCCTATAGTTCTGGGCAAGCAAGCAACCAAGTTCATGAAAGTCACTTCTTATGATGTTCTTTCATATATCATGCATTGGGGATTACTGATTGCAAGCCTTTAATTCCCACCAGATTAACCAATTTTTTTCTACTACCAAATCTTTGGACAAATTGAGTAGAACACTTTCAGAAATAGAGCAACTGTTGAAATAACAGTTATTCTTCCTGTATGCAAGTCCATTATGCTCAAATGCCAATAAGGTATGGGCAGGAACATCTGCCAGCACTCAGCTCAATTGCCATTGTGCTGTTTAGGCTAATGTTTTATCCTGTTCGAAAATATAGTAATTCATACTGTTATATTGGATTTTGGTTATATTTTAGTTTAAGCACCTGCTTAATTGCCATTGTGCTGTTTAGGCTACTAAGGGGTCACAGCCTAGTATCATCTAGGCAAACCTTGTCCACTATCAACCTGGGGGCTGAGTATTCTTTTACAAAGCAAAGTGTTAACAGGACGATGGAGTGGAATGCTGATTTAAATGAACAGAATGCATTGCAGCAAAGACATAATGAATGAGAGAGAGAGAGAGAGAGAGAGAGAGAGAGAGAGAGAGATAACTCCATCTTTTGTCTTGCTTTATTGTAGCTTAGCAGAGACACAATTCCTTGATTTGGACGAAGCTACTATTTTTTTCTGCTTGTTTTACTTAACCATGATTTGTTTAATTAGTAGATTCTGATATATATATATATATAGAGAGAGAGAGAGAGAGTTAAGAACTGTTATGAACTTAAGCAGACAGGCTCTTAACATATTGTTTTCACTAGACAAATTACTCGGTCTTTTGTCTTGCTTTATTGTAGCTGAGCAAAGACACAATTCCTTGATCTAGAGGAAGCTATTGTTTTTTTCTGCTTGTTTTACTTAACCATGATTTATTTAATTAGTAGATTCTGATAACTCTTCTCTTAGTTGCTTTGGTAGCTCTGTAGATCAGTTTCGTTGTTTGAATGCTTTAGTCTGTTCCTCATCTTGGTACTAAAATATACTGAGATAAGGGCTTTTTATTTAAAAAATTTCTCATGGATAGAGGTGTAGTCGTAAATTGTGCATTCCAGATAAGCTGATTGGTATCTAATAAATTCTTCTTCATGTTTTATATACTATTCAATACAGGCATGGACTCTTGATTTTTGACATTATCTTTTAGGTCTTGAGAGCAGTGGCACACAACTATCCAAGTATGGTAACTAGATTTTGGAGACAAGTATCTGATAGTGTTCATGAACTTTTGCACGCAAGGAATCATGAATCCAGCTGTGAAGCAGTAGCTGGTTTTTGCAAGGAAGAATTTAGCAAAGCTGTTGGAGTAACCACAGAAAAATGCATTATGGCTGCTATTAAGGTAACTATCTTATATCATTTGATAATAACAGTTGAAAATCTTTATATGTAGATGATCCTTATAATTTACCATTTATTTGAATACTCATCACCCTTGTATGTACAATGCAGCTTATACATACATATCTACTAAGATAAATGGTCCTACATGTCATAATGAAATTATGAAAGCATATGTCTATTTTTGAATTTCAACAGTTCCTGTTCATCTTTCAGTATAATGTCAAAAAATGAGTTCCAACTAATTTTTTTATGGTTGGCCATTTTAATAAGCTATAATGAGGAAGTTCACAACTTTAGCTACTGGTAAGTTGTCCCTAATGGAATGGGATGCTGCTTGTTGATTTCAAATCTTGATGATTATGTTCAATAATCTTTCCATTTCTTTGGCCATTCATTCCTCTCCTTATTCAACAATGGTTGGCTGGCAATGCCAGCAGTAACCAGTCGGGTTGGCAGCATCAGGTGGCTTTAGGTAAGGATTGATCAAAAGGATTGATTGTCTTCGAGAGAGATCAGAAGACGACGATGACAACAACAACAAAGCTGTAAGTCCCAACTATTTGAGGTCGGTTATATGGATCTTTTGCCACCATTGAAATCTTTGAGAGAGAAGGTTATTAACAACAACCTTCTTCTAATCTCTCTCGGAGATCAGAAGAAGATTATTAAAATTTAAAAACCCTAAACATAAACTTAACAGAAGAATATTTTCAAATTGAGGGGTAAGCTCAGTTTATGTGGGTTACTAGGCAGCCTGTGAACCAGACTGGACCAGGCGAAAAGCCCTGGTCCACGTGTCGGTTCAGCTGTAGACCAGTAAATACCGTCCTGTACATACATACTGCCTGGTGTTTACCTGTTTAGGCGGTATTTCAAATCATTGCAGAAACAAATATTCTGTGCTACAATTTAATAAAATATGATCTTTGTGAGGATTGACCCAGCCAGATTCTGTTTCTAACTGTTGGTAATACCAACCCACTTATATAAGAAACCATCTTCTTTCCACAAAATGTAAGGTCTTGCAATTTCTTTCCAAAAATCAAGGTTCACACCAATATCTCAAATCTCGTGCATGTACTTGTTCTATTTGATTCAGATAGGTGTACTGTCCAAATAATTTGAGATGAAGCAAAAAAAGCAAAGAACCCAAAACCTCAATACTGCTCTCAATATTACCATGTTGCAAACAGAATGGTACGCCTCGCCCTTGCCAGCTGGCCATTGGCACCATTCATAAACAGAGTCTTGAAATGCCATTCTTTTGGCAGGCTAGTGTATGGATTTGGGTTTAGCAATATGGATTTTCTCCATGATTCAGCTCTAAGAAGGGCACAACTGTTCCTTAATTTGGGATCATGTACCATTCTCATCCTTTGTCTTCCTTTTTCCATTGTCTCATCTAGTTTTAATTGATTGATTCTTTATTACTTGAAGATTCGGCTACTGTGCTCGCTGAATGATTCATTGCCGATAAACTCTTCTGTTCCATTTTCTGGTTTGCAAAAGACTAGACTCAATGGAAAATTTCCAAATTTGAAATGAATTGGCATTTTAATTTTCATCTCTTGGAATGGAAGGTGTATCTCAGTTGATTGCTTCATGTGTTTTCCTTCAAGGAGCCAAGGTTCAAATTAAAAATCAGTTTTGATTTCCAAGATTTATGTGGAATGTCTTTGAAAGTCTTTGTTATGATGCTTCTTTGAAGAGAAATAAAAAAAGGTTGAAGTTTCTGGTTGAGTATTACATTGAAGTCCCAGACCTGTCGTAGACTGCTGTGTAGATGGATTTCTGAAAACTTACTACAGCCTGTCACTGTTTAAATCTATGGGCCTTAATAACGACAGGTGTTTTGTAGGGTTGTTGAAGATCTATTGAATTATTTTTTGTGCAAAAAGTTCAAATTATGAAAAGTTGATGCCTGAATTTAGGGTTAATTCACAAAATGATTGCTATTTCATGGCACAGTGGGGTGTCAAAACTGTCCTGACACAGCATACTGCCATGTATTTTGGTCATATTCCGCATACGTCAAAATTTGGCCTGCCCATGTGTCAGTACAGCATATGTGGCTTGGCATGGCAAGATAATTCCTATTCAAGGTACATTATTTTAAAGTATCATACACTTCACTGTATACAAACATTCTCCTTCTCACCATCATCCATTAACACAACCATGTAAGATCTTTAAAGAGAAATTAAAGAACATTTTTTTAATATTCTATTAGGCTCATTAAGGCTCTAGTAATGCTGTTGCAGTTGGTCACCACTGAGTCTTATAATTCCTCGGATTTAAAGGTTCAGTATTTTCTAATGTTAGCTTTTACAGAAATAAAAACAAATTTAGAAAAAGATTGTCGACTTGACTCTTTGTCATTGTTGTCATTCTCTATAAATGGCAAGGTTTTATATACCAATTGGAGCAGTATGTTCTGCCGGTATATACCCATTCATTCAAGGATTGATATCGGACCATATAGGTCATTACCGGTTGGTATTCAGTTTGTTATCATATTTTCTTCTGGTGATAAGTTGCTATACCACTTGGTATATCAGCACAGTTGCATTCCAAATGGTTACTAGAGAAGGTATCAACTGAGGTCTAAATCCTTGCCATATGGAAAATAAGGAATCTTCATTGTCTCCCATTAGTATTCACAACCATACATGCATGATGGTTTGCTTGTATGTTTACTCACAAAATGTGATGGTTGAGCCCTGGCCCAATAAATTTATTTTGCAAGTACAAGTTAGTTGTTTCATGTTGTTTCAAGCATAGCTTGAAATCTCGTGATTTTCTAACGTAACATTCTGATGTGCACCAATAAGCCAGTTCTACAGTGTACTGACCGAACGTCAGCATTGAACATTTATTTTCATATTTCTTGAGGTCTAACGGTACCATACTGACTTTGGCATAATGGTCCAGCAGGATTCCAGTGTCAGTATCTTTTTGGTATTTTAAACCTTGGTTTCGAGTAAATAAGATGACTTGCCTTTATCTCATAGCCTGGTCCTTCTGATTGAAGGTTTAAATGCAACTATTATTTCAGCTTCTTATATAATATTTATCACATCAAACTTGTTCTTGAGATTGATGATTGCTAATTTAGGCATTGCTGCATTCAATCTTTCACTATCTTAACCACATGAGTTGATTATTTAAAGCTTGTGAATTAGGTTCTCGATGAGTGCCTTCGTGCAGTCTCTGGATTTAAAGGAGCCGATGACCTCCAAGATTTTAGATTACTTGATATCCAGCGTATTTCTGATTGTACCAGAAGTAAGAAGATATCATCTGCTCCTTCGTATGAACTTGATGGTCCAGTGGCCTTAAATGGAGATTGTGCCTCATGTGGGCTTGAGCAGTGGAATGAGGTTATCGTAAAGCATCTACCTGAGTCACTATCACATGCCTCTCCAATTGTAAGTTATAGTATTGCAAGATCTAGTCTTTCAATTTTCACCACAATAGTTCACGGTCTGAACCTAATGTATCTTATGAGTCTGAATCTGCATATGCATGTTTCCTTATTTTATTGTTGTTTATCTTTATTAAGCTTAGATGATCAGCAGAAGAATATCTGAATGAGTTATAGATAGGATCTCTTCCTGACTCATTATTGCTATTACTTTGTATTCTTTTATACCTGCCAGTTTGGGCCTTCTGTACAAATACTGGATGAATATTAGATAACAACTTTAGCCTGGTTTGTGGAATTCTTCTACGTCTTGCCTTCTTGTTCTTCTTATATTTTTTTTCTCAGCAAGAGGGTTCATCATCATATTTCTTATTGCGTTTGTATTCAAAATCACATAAAGGACTTTGAAATCTCAAAACAATATCTATTTCATGGATTTATGTTTATCTGGCATTCAAAATTCAAATGTGAGACAGTGATCAATATATTTCAGAAGTATTAAACATAGGGATTGAGTTCACTTGATTTCATATGTTTGGAGGACAATCATCTAGGGTTTATGGTGCATAATGATGTTGAAATTTCATGTAAAAATGAGTTATTCGTTTTTTTTCTACACGGATTGTAAACAAAATTTCTTGTAGTTCTTTTGGTAGATACTGATCAACTCATGCCTATGCTCATTCAGGTGAGGGCAGCATCAGTTACATGCTTTGCTGGGATGACATCGGGTGTTTTCTCCTCTTTGACTAAGGACAAACAAGAATTTGTTATTTCTTCAGCTGTATGTTGTGACAAATACTGACATAGATCATTTACAGTTTCTATTATTAAACAAAAAATTTAGGATATTTTTTGGTAAGTAGTATATGGAAGTATTTACCATGTGCATTCCATAGGTTACTGCAGCATTCGGTGATGGAGTTCCTTCTGTCAGATCAGCTGCATGCCGAGCCATTGGTGTCCTAACATGTTTCTCAGAAATTGTTTCTCGGTAATTCTATCTTGGATGTTCTTGCATCTCAAATTGCAGTGATTTAGAATCTGGAGTTACATTTCACTTTCATCGGAGTGCCATTTTTCAGATCAACAGTGATTGACAAATTTATACGTGCAGTTGATTATAATTCACACGGTCCCATAGCCTCGGTACCTACTTTTCTGTTTTTAATATTGCTACCTTTTCTTACTAGAATTACAATTTTGTTTTCTTATCTTTTAAATGGCTAGTTTTATTACAATTATGTTTTTCTTCATCCAGGTACGGATTACCGCTTCATGGGCTCTAGCAAATATATGTGATGCCCTTCGCCACAGAGCAACTGAACTGGACTTGGATAGATCTGAAGGTTAGATTTGTTGCCATTTGTCTTATTTTACAGGCTTTTTACCTATATTTCATTTTAAGCTCAAGAATTCTCAGATGCAGGTGAAATAAGGCTTTCTGACTCTATCTATCTTTTAGTTGAAAGTGCACTACGATTAACTAAGGATGGTGATAAGGTGAGGTGGTTACAACTTACAACTTACATCCAAATATGTTTCCTCATATTTGTATCAACCATATTTACTTCTTACATTCTCTTTTCTGTTGGTATGATGTAAAAGATGTGTTGAACCTGTTGATGCTCTAATATATAGCAAATGCCTATTTGTTTGCATATATGGATAGGCTGAATTGTGACAGTTATTTGGTTTGCGTTCCTGAAAAGGTCGACAATATTTTGTGAAAATACTAGCAAAATGGATTCTAAATTATAGTTATCAAGATTGAACTAGTACTTGAACTGGCCATGCCTTTGGTCATTTGGATAATTGTCCAGACTGATCGGTCTGATGTTTCAATAAAATTTAAAAATATAAATGTGTACAATAATAAATTAATTTTATATGATAAAAATATAAAATATACAAAAGGAATATGTTTTCTTGTTCTTCTCATTACTTCCTTTTTCATTTTTTTTCAATTTGTGTCTTTTTCTTATCCTTCCTTTCTTTTTCTTCTTTCTCTTCTCCATCTTTGCTTCTCTGCTGATAACATCCCTCGATTCTCTTCCGTGACACAGCCACGAGCAGCAACCTGAAGCAGGGTATAGGTGATGAGCAGTTCTTCCTTCTCCTCTCCTCTCTTTCTCCCCTACAGTTTTTCTTTCCTAGGCTGTTACATCTTTTCTGATTGTCCTATTTCTCCTTCGTTATTTTTCTTCTGCTTCTTTTAGACAGGAATCAAGAGGGGCATCAGAACGTACTCAAATGTGGGTGTGGTGGCAAAGGAGAGGCGTCAGGAAGAAGTGCTTGATTGTGGCATAGGTTTGGGGGAATAGGATGTGGCAGTTAAAGGAACTGGGGCCAAGGAAGACACAAGAAAATAACTCGACAATTTTAATAAACTCATCATGTTGTACCACCTGAGGTGGCACGGTATGGATGGTAAGAACTGGTATGACCAGCGACCGAGATGCAGATCACCCGAGTCCCTATCGGCATGCCCCAGTATACCATGTTGGTACACTAGTGCAGACTGGCACATACTGACCTGACAAATCTCCGAAAGGGTCCGGTACCCGAAATGACGAACCCTGGTTTAATGAAAACCATCCTATTCACCTTTTTTTTTTCTCTAGGAGGAGCCAGATTTTCTCAAAAAGGTTGTACATCATATGACTTTGTTATCTAGAATGTAAACCATCTAAGTCAATGTACTGGTGTAGGTGCCGAAGTTCAAAATTTTTGGTCTAGTACAAGTACAGGAACTCATCAACTGATAGAAGCTAATCATTATGGTATTAATATGATCAGTACATACCTAAAAGTTCTAAAATTGTGGTTTATGTTTGGTATATAGGTGGCAAAGTTCTTTGCCAGCATACTGTTATCTGGTTGGACTGGTATGACACCATTGGTATACCATACTATTTATTTCTGTGGTAGATACAGACATACTAGATGCTTCTCTTGGTTCGTGGAGATGATCAGTTGGTTCATGTTGATCTCGAATCATGCTACATGCTGATTTCTTAATTTGCTATTATTAGGTAAGATATATTTATTTTACCAAGTAATTAACTGATCATCGAATTGGGTTGCTAGTAATGGAAGCAGAAAACTCAGAGAGATTCATTATTATTATTATTATTATTATTATTATTATTATTGGTTTAGTGCTTTTATTGTCTTAGCTTTTTGTCTATGATCCCCAGTTCTGAATCGTGTTGCTGAGATGGAAAAGATTCATGAGTTGTAATCAGGAACCTTGATTTAGGTTTCATGGGAGTTAGAGATCATTAAAACTTCAATATATGGAAAATTATGCATTAAAATAAGAAACATGTGCTCTTTTATCCAGTCCCCTTCATCATCTGATGCAACATGATGCTATGGAGTCCTAATGGTGATCTCTCTCTTGGTTGAAGCACTCGATTAATACATCACTGGTTTTAAGTCAAAATAGACTGTTTAGTCCATTTGTGATTATTCCAGCATAGTTAGGCGACAGATCAAAGTCAAATATCGAATTCTACTATATCCATGTTGGTTGAGATCCTGGTGTCTTGGTATAAGGATGCCACAAGATGTTGCGACTGATATTAGCAAAACATTAAGCACTTGAATCCTTCTCTAAGAATACTAAAATTTTCTAAGTAAAGATTTTAATTTCTAATATCGTAAGAATTTTAAAAATACTGTTGATTCTTTTAGGGATGAGAGAAATCACAGGCAAGGTATGAACCAGAATTTATGAAGCTTAACAGACATTAAGATTTAAGATTGTGTAATTATTTCTTTATGGCAGTTGTGGTTGTTTGACCATGTGACAACATCTATTGTCTTCTTGTTGATATGTAGTAGTCAAGGTCTGCCATTTCGGGTACTGATGCTATATCGGTCACTGGGTGGACCAGTTAAAAATATTGGTCCATACAAGTCTACTGAGTGTCTGTATACTGGTATGCGCCAGATTTTGGTACATACATAAGATATTCCCAAATAATCTATTTTAACCTAATATATCCCCTTTTCTGGTTATACGTAATCAAATTAGATAGTTTGTTTTTCAAAAATAAGATATGGATTAATGAAAATGTCTCATCTAGAGAGGCAACACAAATTAAGACATATTCTGATGAAAAATTGAGTCTTGCTCTTGCTTTGTTAGCATATTTAACTCGATATTACAAAAATCTTCGTGTTGAGCTCACAAGGGACCTTCCTGGTGAATCAAAATAGGTTTATAAACAATATATATGTTTATAAAATACTAAATGAAATGTAAAACAAAGACAAATACCTACTCGAACCCAGACCAATACATCTAGGATCGATATGGGTCCAATATCGAGTATTGTTTGGGTCTTTGGGATCCTCGATATGATGGATAGAATGTCATCTGTAGGACCCATTGATGTAATAATGTGGTCATAGTCGTTGCTGCATTATCATTGATGACTCTGTGATAGGGGACTCTTATGAGAAGTACGTTGATGCCGCATCATCATTGATGGCTTTATGGTAGGAGGCTCATATGACAAATAGGATCGCAACAGGTATGATAGGATTTGTCATCATATCATTGTTGCATATCTTACTTAGAGAAGAATGACCAACTTCCACCATGTATATGTTGGTTATTCCATCATAATGGTAGGAAGGCTGTGAATATGTTGAATTCCCATCAGTGTCACTATTGGGTAGGCTTTATGACATATGAGACGAATCATCCATTCCTTCCCCTTCCCCTTATCCTTGCAGCCATAAATGAGCTGCACGGATCCTCGTGCTTTGTGATCCGAAACCTATGTGCCATGAGCAGTGATTTAAATAGGCGCCTGGGCGCTCGGGCAAGGTGAGGCAAGGCGAGGCCCGAGCGCCTCATGGGTGAACCTGGCGACATGCTTTAATGAGATGTCGCTTGGGTGTTCGCTTGAACCCAGGCGTCGAGTGCCTGATTCAAATGAAGCAACCGAACCAGACTTTTAAGTTTGGTTCGGTTCAATAGTGCCTAGTTTCTTACCTGCACAAGCCACCCTCGCACACTTGCGCGACCCCGAGCCATCAACCCAAGTGCTGCTTCTGCGTCCGGCACCAACGCTTTCTGCTACTGCCTCCGTTGCAGACGTAGCAGACTGAAGCTTCCTTTAGCGCCGATGGACGGGTTCGACGGCCTAGCCTTCGTCCGTAGCTTCCTTCCGCCACCGCTGCTTCTGTGTACAATTCCTTCCACCATCGAGGGTGAGGACCGTAGCTTCCTCCACTACCGATGGACACCTCTGAAGCTTCCTCCACCCACAACATCGCTATCTGTAGCTTTCGTCGCTACCGCTGCTGCTGTCCGCAGCTTCCGTTGCTGCCGCTGCTGCTGCTGCCACGGTTGTTATCTGCAGCTTCTTCCTCCTCCACTACTGCTGCTGTCCGCAGCTTCTTCCGTCACCGCTGCCTTCTCCTTCCTCACTTTCTACTGTCGATGACACTTTTCTCTCATTTTGCTACTGTTAAAAGTTCTTTTCTCTCCCTTTAATTACTGTAAACAGTAAATAATATACTGTTAATAGTAGATTGTTAACTATTGTACAAAGCAAATATATCCCTTTGCTCTTAGTAGTAAAATAAGTCTCCAATGGGATATACTAGGATGGTACTTTAGATCTTTTTAATTTAATATTATATATTTTTTTATTTATATAATCATATTTATCAATTATATTATATATTTTTTTATATTTTAATATTTCAGAGCACCTCACTTCGTTTGGGCAAGCGCCTAGCGCTTTTTAAGTCACTAGCCATGAGTAAATACTACTCCTCGACCATCGTACCCTGACTCTTGAGTAGTGGTACCACGATGTTGTTGCCAACATTGGATGATGGTTGTTGGTGATGTTGTTATCTCCATGGAATTCATGAAACGTGGACAACAAGGGAGATAGTGTCTCATCACCAGACTGAACCTGTTGCTCATCAATGTGTTCATGGGATCCCAAGACCATCAAGCTCGTCCCTTTCCCTTCTCGCAAGAGTCGGATGTTCCCATGATCACTAGCTCCTCCTGTAAGCCTTGTTCCTCTTCTTATACTGCCATCAATATAATTAGGAGATACATTTTCTATTGCAAATCTAACAAAATAAACCTCTGGGGACACTATTACAGGCTTTTCTTGGTCATTAAAAATCATACGTAATTCTTTGTTCTTCTTTTTATGCTTTTCCGTTAATTGCTTTAACAAATCTCTAAATCAGCATCGTGGTTCCTTTCAGAAAATTTCAAAATGAAGATAGGTGTGTCATTTTGCTCATGTCTAGGAGATTCACTCATTATTCTTATCGTCAGTATTTGAATTTCACTCCAACAGTTCCTAAAATTTTAACTTATTTTTATAGATTAAGTCAAATGCTGTGAGGGCTCTTGGAAACCTGTCAAGATTTATCAGATTAACTAATCATTCTGCTGAAAGTTTGCCAAGGTACTAATGGTATTCTATTAGTTAACTAGTGCATTTGTCTTTCTTATATTAATGTACAAAAGAAATGACTGGTTAATTTTCATCATCAGTGGTTCAAAGTCAGCTTTTCATGGAAATGCCCACTGGCTTGAGAGAATGGTGCAAGCATTTGTTTCTTGTGTGACTACTGGTAATGTAAAGGTATGTCAAGCATTTGCTTCACTACATTTGGCTCATGGATAACATTGTGTATCAGTAGGATAAGTGATGACTAATATCTTGTTTTACCAAGCACCTTGAGAAAACAAATTCAATGGCAAAACCTCATTCTTTACAAATAATTGCATGGAGGTTGGTTTATTTAAAATCTTCCGATGGTCTTTGTTAACTTTTTAACTCTTTGGTGTTTCAGGTCCAATGGAATGTTTGTCATGCCTTAAGCAACTTATTCATGAATGAAACAATAAAGCTACATGATATGTCTTGGTAAGGTTATCTCAATTTGTCCAATGATGTTGTGTATTATATGTTTTCTTTCATTGTTTTATTGCTTTACATTAAACATCTTCAGATTTCAACCTCATTATACTTAGTACTTTATTAATTTGTATGGTCATGCAACATAGAATTTCTTATGGTGTAGAAGTGATGGTGAATAGTTAAAAGAATATGCAAATGTTACTTAATTTTCTCTGCATGTAATATCTGTCCTATCCCCACGTATTATGTTTTGAGACCAAAGTGACTTCAAAGTCAAGATGAAAAAAAAGAGTCTATCTATTGGCCTGTTTGTTGCACTAATCTTTGAGCTCACTATATTTAATGAAGATCAAGTTTACCTGATAGTTAATTATATTAGTTATTGTTTTGGGGATGAAGTGGTGATAAAATTGATTTTTTTCTAGTATCTATTTTGATATTTCTAACATGGTTTGCTTTACCGGTCTGTACCGGTGTACTGACTATCGCTACGATATGTGCTAATGTTCAGACATACAATATGGTGAGGGTGTATCGACATATTAGTATGTACCGTTCATACCGATCCCCTGTTGGACCGGTACATACCGCCTGTACTGAGCGGTACATCGTGATACGATGAACTTTGAATTTTCTGGTTTCTCTTCCCTAACAGTTTATCATTGCAGTAGTTTCTTTTACAATATTTTTCTTGTTTCCCAAGCACCAGTGTGTTCGTTTTGTTTCTTCTCTAATAATTTCTTGATTGATGTATTTCTATTATTTCAAATCATTAATGCTGTATTTGGATCCTATATCTTTTAAAAGATTTTTATATTTTTATAGATAATATTCCTAGCTTCACCTATTAATAACCATTAGATGTATTATTAATAACCAAGTTTTTTTGTATTACAGGTTAATAAATTACATTATATGATTAAACATTCCAAAAATAAAATTTGTGATTTATCTACAACTCCTATGTAAATGTGGTTATGTGCAATACATTTGCATTTGCATTTGCATTTGAAAGTCTACACATTTTGATCTCCTTCCCCAAACCCTACATCGAGTCATCCTTTTATGCTTATGCAAAAAATGAACACACACATATATATATATATATATATATATGTATATATATATGTATATATATATGTATATATCTTTATGTGTGTGTGTATATATATATATATATATATATATATATATATATATGTATGTATGTATGTATGTATGTATGTATGTATGTATACACACATATATATGTAATCGATCCACATCACGGGGTCATGCCTACTTGACCTACTTCCTGATGGTCGTTGCACTTGGAGAACTCGATATTCGAAGAGTTGGATGCCCTTACAGGACAACTCCCTTGAGTGGTGTGCCCGACACGATCACCTCGATACCCAAGTTTCGAGGTCTTACATGATGGTCAAAATTAACGTTCAGATCCTGAAGTATACATGAGAGCCCCTTATTTATAGAGTGGTGAAGAAATATCCCCAAAGTAAGGATTATTCTGAAAAATATTCGCATGTAGAGAACTCAATTGGCTCGAAATATTGGCTGTATCAATATGAAAAACAATTTCCTACAGATGTTTTGGGTTAGCAGTTACATGTAGTAAATATTTTGAATTTAGAAGTTCACTGAGTTGATCTTTTTATGAATTTACTACTTTAACCTTCTACAATAATGTTTAAATATCTTTGTATTATGGAATTGCTTTTATGGTATATTGACATAGCTTCAGGAACCTACTATATTAATTTGTTATTCCTTGTATATGCTTTTTTTTGCATATGATCAGTGCAGGAACCTATATCATAAAGTTCAAACTAAATTCACAAAAAATTATGATCAGTGCAGTGTTCAAGGTCTGAAATCCAAATTTCTTCAATTTACTGACACTGAAAGCATAGAGTTCAATTCTTTTTTGCCTGACATATGTGGGAGAAAGAGAAGTCACCAAGGAGAGTGGCTTCTTTGTTTTATGGGAGGAACCCATTGAGAACCCTTCTCTCTCAACCATCAAATAACGCTTATCAGTGACCTTTGTTCCATAATGACCAGTTACATTTATATAGCACAGGACTCTTGGACTTTATTGGTTTACTTGAAAGTTTTGATTTTGCAGTACTCAATGACCGTGAACTTATCATTTTCAATTGCATTGAATTGTAGCAATAGTTTCTCATGTTGTCATTTAAATTTCCATTATATACTTTAATGTGTATAATTCATTGCAGGGTCGATGTTTTTATTTTTCAGTTTGTTGTCTTTCTTCCTCGAATACCTTGGATGCAGTTGTCAGTTTGTTCTGATTATAGGCACTCTTAATTTCTGCTGCAGGGCACCTACTGTTTACAGTATTCTTCTATTGCTCCTTCGTGATTCTACCAACTTTAAGATTAGGATACATGCTGCAGTTGCTTTAGCTGTTCCAACATCGAGGCTTGGTTAGTAATAACTATCCTCTGATTTACCAAATATAATTTGGATCCACTAGGTCATTGAGATTAAACTAGATAAAACACATAGAACAATTAATGCATGGGAATGACTCATTCTACAAAAAGAACTGTAAAAGATAAAATTGACTGAATGCTTGAGGGCTGGAAGCCTGGAACTCATAAAAAAAAATTTAGAAACTTGCTTTCCTTAGTACTGAATGTTTCTAAATGATCTCTTCTTTTTTATTTCAAGCATTTTTGTAACTGGTACTTTTTTTCTGTTTTACATTATATTGCTAGTAAATTTGTGATGCTATCAGTACAAGGTAGGATTTATGAATTATCCTTTCAATTTTCTTTAATTTATGTTTATCTACCCTCCCAAGGTTTGGAAACTCAGCTGCATGCTGATAAGTGTCCCTCAATGCAGTTTCTTTCTAATTCACTTCATCTTACTTTTAATTTGTTTCTTATCAATCTCATTTATCAACTTGAATCAGTTCCATTTTTGTTATTGTTATGTCAAGGGTTGTGTCACAATAAAATGCTTTATGAATAAATCAGTCATATGGTTGGAAGATTCCAAATGTGCAATGGTTGGTATAAAAGGAGTATCCTTTGACGAAGCTATTGCCAATGTAAGGTTTGGGTAGAGTGACTGTACTAGAGATATTCCTACTAGCAGGGATGTCATTTCATGATCCAAACCCTTGACTCAGATCATGAAGGAGCAACTTTGTGCTGGTGCCATGGATATCCCTCGTGAAGGGATGCTATAATTTTAATCATCTTTAAAAGCCGTCCCATTCAGCTTTCCTTTATCGAGTAGCTCTTGAGCTCTTTTAATAACAAACTCTACAACAAGAATTTTACTATACTAGTGAACGTTTACCATGCAGATTATGGGAGCTCATTTTCTGATGTTGTTCAAAGTTTAGAACATGTACGTGAATCATTAGTTTCAGATCAATCTTCAACACCATCTAGTTTCAAATACAAAGACAATCTTGCAAAGCAGGTTAGTTTAATAATATCCAAATGAAGACCAAAGCATCCCTTCACAAGCAGACATTATGGCTTAACAACCTTCTTTGTCCAGATGACTTTGACAATGTTGCATGTGCTTGGCTTTGTTTCACCCAATGATGACCAAGCTCTGAAAGATTTCCTTGTTAAGGTCAGTACAATTTGTTCTTAGTATTGTTGTTGATCTTCTCTTCATATATATTGGAAGTTTATTTGAAAATGCACCTTAAATCTGTTAGAAGAAGGTTTGCTGTTAGTGTTTTTCTTAGATGGCATAAATTTCTAACTCTGTTCAAAGAGTGTAATAGTAACTATTTTATCTTGTCATACATGCTACATATGACAGCTGTTCATTTTCATTTCCCTTTGGTAATGATTGTCTTAGACAACAGAAGAAAAATCATTTCCAAATGAGCTACAGAAAGAATAGAAGATTGAATCATATGATCCTTCTTAATCTGAAAATTGAGTATCACTTCGTACCTGCTACTGTCAGACATGAATTCCTTTGATTGACTTTTAGGTTTTAGTTTCTAAGGAAAAAGACCTATGCTATCTTAAAAGTGTTATATATATATATATATATATATATATATATATATNTATATGTATATATATATATATATATATATATATATATAT